GATGAGGCCAGGACACCCCCCTCCTGGCAGGGGCAGGGAGAGGACGCGGGCCCCGCTCGAGGTCGGTGGGGCCACCCGGGCTACACTTGATTCTTTCATTGAGCGCAAGCCTCCCTTTGCAAGAGCAAGCATCTGTTTCCGCGAGAAACAGGTCACCGCCGGGGACGCCGGCCCTGCCCCTGCTCTTTATCTAGGCCCGGTGAACGCGTCGAACACCCCACCCCCACCCGCACCGCCAGCCACACGCTTCCCGCTCCCTACGTCCCGACCACACGCCTCCATCTCGCCTCCCCCCGCCCTCTACACAGTGCCACACGCCTCCCTCCCCCCCCCCATTCTCCCCGCCCAGGCCACACTCCCCTCTCCCCACCCGGGCCACACGCCTCCTCCCGCTCCCCTTCCCGCCGGCGCTCCTGCTGCCGCTTTAACGGCCGGGACCGCCCGGCCCGCGCCGCGCGCTCCAAGCGGGGACCCGGGGGGCGACAGATTTGGGGCATTGCTCGAGGGCAGTGAGTCATGAAAGCCGCTTTTGTTACCCGCGCGTGCGGTTCGCGTGCCGCTCAGCAGCCAGCAGCGCCCAGTGGGGACAGGAGCTGGAGGAGTAACGCTAACTTGGCAGCGCGGGCAGAGGGAAAGGGCGAGAATTTAGGCAATCGGGAGGGGAAAAGTGTTCAACTGTCGAAACAAAGTCCAAAGAGGGAGAGAAAAATAAGGAGGCGGGGGCGGCGACTGTGCCTTCTACTGAGCCCCACAGCGCCCGCACTCCATACTCTTCCAGCGTTACCGCCACCACTGTACTCTGGCCCCACTTTCTCGCCCTGTCTCCTCTCAACAAAAAGCACCTCAATCTAGGTCTAGTCTGCACTTCTCCCCTCCGGGCCTGACTACTAGTCTGCCGCCTCGGGGAGGTCTAGCTTGGGTTCTCTCTCGGAGCCAAGATTCCCTTGCTGGGGGATTGACATTCTCCGCGCAGAGGAGGGTTTGCACCCAAGCTCTGTTGGCCGTGAGGCTCATTAAGAACCACAGTGAGACCGAACCTCGCCAGGTCTCTGGAACATCCCGGAGTGGTCTTTTCTTTGTACAAATCCCAGGCCTGGGAGAACGACGGACACTCGGATTAGGGGTGAATTTATTTGAAAGAGAAGGAACGGGTCTACTAATTTCTGCACTTTGCGCATTTGAGTCTCGGATGGCCAAACACCCGGTCCTTTTCTGCCCTGGAACATCTGGTTCCACCAAAAATCTGTATTCCACAGGATGTCGCAAACTGAGGAAGTTTTCACTTCCCCGGGGAGGAAGGATCCCCCAGGTCATCCCTGGGTCTTTGGACAGCTTGAACCAATCTTTTCCATTCGCCCCTAACATTTCCCCTGAAGCTCGTTTAAGACCTTTGAGAAAGGAGAGCCAGGGCACCAGATGCACATCCCCGTCGCACAGTGGGCTAGCTTGTGGAGCGGCTGCCGGGAGACTGGGGGGCCCTTAGTCCAGCCCTGCAGCAAGTGTCCTCAGACCTGCGAGTTGTGGACCCGCCTTAACTTCGAGGCCCCTTCAGTTTGAACACAGAAAAGCAAAAACTCCTTACAGCTCTGCTCTTGAAAACCTAGCATAATTCATGTCATGCTTTCTGCAGCGGGTCAAGGTGTCCACCCCTTTATTCCCCTTTCAGATTTGCGCTGGACGGGAAGGCTGCCATTGCCACCTTCTAGACACCAATGATCTCCTTAGGACCCTCTTCCCCTCTCCACTGCATCGCCCCTCCAGTTCCCAGAGGCACCTAGCTTCAGCCACTCAACCCTGACACTGTTTGCAAACTCAAGGGGCTTTTAGAGCAATTGCCTTTAAATAAACAATCCAAGTTGGACACATTCATTTGAAGGGGCTACCTGTCTAGGAGGGATAGGGTGTTAGTTAATGGATTAGAGACGAAGCTGGTGGAGAAGGAATGGAAAAGATGGGATATATAACTAAAACCTGCCTTGGTGGGAATGAATAAATAATCACCATTCAAACACAAATATAGTTCCTTCAGAATTAGTCGGGAATCTCATGATCTTTGCTTGACGTGCAAGGTGGAGGTCGCGTGAAGTCAGCGTCTTTGAGGTCTGGAAGAGTCATGGCCATCAACCTCTTCCAGCGTTGTGCTAAAGGCCTTTCTTGAAAGAGGAGCAAAAAGACTCATTTAGCATAGGCCCATTGCATCCTCCCTTTGAGAAGGCTTGTCTGAACCAAGTACCTACTTACAGGCCTGAGAGTGTGGAGTGTGGAGTGCCAGCCTGTGGCAAGGAACAAGGTGCATCTGATGAGGGCATCCTTTGCAACAATCCAATGGCCTTGGCAAAAAGGCAGAATCCAAGCATCAGCGGAGTCCCCCAGCTTTCACACAGAGAGCTCTTGAGGCCGAAGGAGCGGGACTAGCTGGCGCTGAGGACCAGGACCTCTGTGGGGAAGTCTCCAGGGACAGAGGTAGCTGAAGGTGGGGGCACAGCGAGTTGCATTATATATGGTGGGGTAGAGTGACAGGTACAAACTTTCTATGCTGTGGAGGGTGGGAGTGGGTTATACAATTAAGGAGGCTAGAGGACTAGCATCAAAGCTGAGTTTACAGATGAAGCCATTTTTACATGGCGTATATGTTTTCTTGAGGGTTTGGTGGAGATGAGGAGAAGCCACCCTTTGGTGCCAATAAACAAAGCGTCTGCCAAGAGGAGGAAACCCAGAGATGGACAACTCAGAGAGGGCAGAAAGTCTTAGTGCTCTGGAGACCAAAGCCTGGACAAGGCATCCAACGGAGTCAGGACGCTTCACTGCACGCCTCAGTCTCCAGGCTTCTGCCTCTTTCACCTCCGCCCTACTTCCCGCCCCAACGCGGGCCACTCACTCTAATCTAAACCCAGTCAACGTTAGCTTTCCCGCTCCCTTCCCTCAATTCCCCTCCCCCTTGCCCCCTCTCCCTTCTGCCGCCTGAAAGGGTTAATCTCTCCTGCGGGTAAAAACAGGTCCGCGGAGTCTCTAACTGGCGACAGATGGGCCACTTTCTTCTGGCCACAAAGGGGCCGGAATGGAGCGCTCCGCGGCATACAAATGGGCAGGTCACGTGGTTCCCGGCTCCTGGCTGGACCGGGAAGACCATATGGCGCATGCCGGGGAGGAAGGAGATGGGGCGGGGGTAGAGGTGGGGGCGAGGGGAGCTGGAGTCGGAGGAGGGTGGGAGAGGAGCAAGGCTCAAGGGGCGGGCGGTGGGGGAGGGCGGAAGGGAGCGCTCAGCCTGGACGCGTGCGCAGACGCCGGGCGCAAGGACCTGCTAGCCGCTCGGCTCCCCGCCCCGCCTGCGCTCAGCATCACCAACCCCGCTATATAACCTGAGAGCCCGGGCGGCCGGGACACGAGGAATTCGCCCCACGCAGGAGGCACGGCATCCGGAGGCCCCAGGGTTATGAGACCATCACTGCTCAGGACCTACTAACAACTGCAGGTAATTACACTTCTTTCATTTTTGCCTGGGAATAAAAGCAGTAATTGAAACCGGATGTACCTACACATATTCTGAGCGTGTGCGTTTGCGAGCGTGTGTATGTGTATTGAAACAGGCATTCCTCCCCATGATTGCAGGCAAATACGCATACATTTTGATTCGCGTCGCTCAAATACCCACCGCAGGCTTTTTAATTAAAAAAAAAAAAAAGTTTTAGTGTTTTTGTTTTGAGGGAGGGAAATTATAGGAGTATCTTTGGATTTTTAAAATAATGCACAGTAACTGTGATTATTTGCTAGTGGTGATTTCAAAGTCATGAAAGCAAACAACTTTCTCACTTCTTCCAGTAAGGAAAAAGAAAAAAGAAAAGCCCTGTTACCAAGATTTGTTTTGTGTGCATGTATTTTATGCACACTGGAAGTGCCAAGTTACTTTTTCAGTGAATAAAAGGGACATTTGATACCTGGAGTATACACACCCCGGAAAATAATCCCGTTGACAGATAATTTAGTTGGGGGGGGGGAGAATGTGGAGAACGAGAGAGGGACCAACTCGGCTACCTGTTACTGCTCCAGAGGCAGCCAAGTCCCCAGCAGCCACTGCAGGAGCCAGAAATTCAGTTGTCTCACTAAAGGCTTTTTATTTTCTTTATTAGAAGCGGCAACTTCTCTATTGCCAATCGCTGACCATTATAATTACTCAATTTTTAAAAGAGAGGTTTGAGGCGAAGTTTGAAAAGCCCCAATAAAGAGCGGGCGGCCCTTTCAATGGGCTGTTTATTAGAGAGGAGCCTTCCGCACCTGATCCCAAGCGCGTGGAAGGGTGCTCTGCGCTGTGCCCCCAGCCCTGGCCATGTAGCTAGCGCTTTTGTACAAGGTGGAAATTCAGCAGAGGGACAGCGGTGGGAGGCGAGAAAAGAAAGGCGAGGGTGGCATGGAAGACCCCTGCCCACTTTTGTTGCCAAATGTTTCGTTGATGGTGAAATAATTTGGTGGAAACTACTTTTTCTCCGCCATGCATTTGCCCTTCAATCTCCGGTTAGTATAATCTTCTTAAAAATCACTGCCACCGTTAGTAAATTACGTAATGGCTCTTCAACTGTAATCGCTAAATACAAGAAGCCAGGGCAGAGAAGGGAACAAACAAAATTGCGATTTTCAAACTCATTTTTTGTGGAGTTGTGACTTTGAACTCATGCAGATAAACGTGAAGTAGTAGGGGGAAAAAAACCCAAACATGAAGTAGTCGAAATGTATGCTCATTTTCACGCATATTATTCTGCCACATAATCACCATAAACACACTTTCACCAATCACTAGGAAACATACACCCAGCAGTGTACATATACACATATTTACTCTCTCCCTCACCTCCAGCCCTGCCCTGTCTCCTATGTGTCAGCGGGGCACACACACGCCATTATAAAACACAGCATTTAACTTTTTCTTAGGGGCATCCATTTTGTAATGAGCTGGAACTTCTCTTCACGTGCATTTCTACAAGGTTAGGGAGTGGGAGCTGAAGGCATAGGTAGTTTTTGAATGTCGCGTTTTTCTCCTTTTCTTTCTGTTCCTCTCTCCCCCCTGTTGAATGTAGGAAACCGAAACATGACCAAATCATACAGCGAGAGCGGGCTGATGGGCGAGCCTCAGCCCCAGGGTCCTCCCAGCTGGACAGACGAATGTCTCAGTTCTCAGGACGAGGAGCACGAGGCAGACAAGAAAGAGGACGACCTCGAAGCCATGAACGCGGAAGAGGACTCACTGAGGAACGGGGGAGAGGAAGAGGACGAAGACGAGGATCTGGAAGAGGAGGAAGAAGAGGAAGAGGAGGATGACGATCAAAAGCCCAAGAGACGGGGCCCCAAAAAGAAGAAGATGACCAAGGCGCGCCTTGAGCGTTTTAAGTTAAGGCGCATGAAGGCTAACGCCCGGGAACGGAATCGCATGCACGGGCTAAACGCGGCTCTGGACAACCTGCGCAAGGTGGTGCCCTGCTATTCCAAGACGCAGAAGCTGTCCAAAATCGAGACGCTGCGCCTGGCCAAGAACTACATCTGGGCTCTGTCGGAGATCCTGCGTTCGGGCAAAAGCCCTGATCTGGTCTCCTTCGTACAGACTCTCTGCAAGGGCTTATCCCAGCCCACCACCAACCTGGTTGCCGGCTGTCTGCAGCTTAATCCTCGGACTTTTCTGCCTGAGCAGAACCAGGACATGCCTCCGCACCTGCCTACCGCCAGCGCTTCCTTCCCTGTGCACCCCTACTCTTATCAGTCGCCAGGGCTGCCCAGTCCGCCCTACGGTACCATGGACAGCTCCCACGTCTTCCACGTTAAGCCGCCGCCGCACGCCTACAGCGCTGCGCTAGAGCCCTTCTTTGAAAGCCCCCTGACTGATTGCACCAGCCCTTCCTTTGACGGACCCCTCAGCCCGCCGCTCAGTATCAATGGCAACTTCTCTTTCAAACACGAACCATCCGCCGAGTTTGAGAAAAATTATGCCTTTACCATGCACTATCCTGCAGCGACCTTGGCAGGGGCCCAAACCCACGGATCAATCTTCTCGGGCGCCGCTGCCCCTCGCTGCGAGATCCCTATAGACAATATCATGTCCTTCGATAGCCATTCACATCATGAGCGAGTCATGAGTGCCCAGCTCAATGCCATCTTTCACGATTAGAGGCACTTCAGTTTCACCATCCCCGGGAAACGTACCCACTGTGCTTACAGTGACTGTGGTGTTTACAAAAGGCAGCCCTTTGGGTACTATTGCTGCAAAGTGCAAATACTCCAAGCTTCAAGTGATATATGTATTTATTGTCGTTACTGCCTTTGGAAGAAACAGGGGATCAAAGTTCCTGTTCACCTTATGTATTATTTTCTATAGCTCGTCTATTTTAAAAAAGTAATACGGTAAAAAAAAAAAAATGCACCACAAATTTGGTGTAGCTGTATTCAGATCATATTAATTATCTGATCGGGATAACAAAATCACAAGCAATAATTAGGATCTATGCAATTTTTAAACTAGTAATGGGCCAATTAAAATATATATAAATATATATTTTTCAACCAGCATTTTACTACTTGTTACCTTTCCCATGCTGAATTATTTTGTTGTGATTTTGTACAGAATTTTTAATGACTTTTTATAATGTGGATTTCCTATTTTAAAACCATGCAGCTTCATCAATTTTTATACATATCAGAAAAGTAGAATTATATCTAATTTATACAAAATAATTTAACTAATTTAAACCAGCAGAAAAGTGCTTAGAAAGTTATTGTGTTGCCTTAGCACTTCTTTCCTCTCTAATTGTAAAAAAAAAAAAAATTGCACAATTTGAGCAATTCATTTCACTTTAAAGTCTTTCCTTCTCCTTAAAACGAAAACCAGATCCATAACTCTTAAGAGGATAAAAAAAAAAAGAGAGAGATGTAGTCCCTATCAAAACATATCAATTCAACACATTACTTGCACAAGCTTGTATATACATATTATAAACAAATGCCAACATACCCTTCTTTAAATCAAAAGCTGCTTGACTATCACATACAATTTGCACTGTTTCTTTTTAGTCTTTTACTCCTTTGCATTCCATGATTTTACAGAGAATCTGAAGCTATTGATGTTTCCAGAAAATATAAATGCATGATTTATACATAGTCACACAAATGGTGGTTTGTCATATATTCATGTAATAATAAATCTGAGCCTAAATCTAATCAGGTTGTTAATGTTGGGATTTATACCTATTGTAGTCAATTAGTACAGTAGCTTAAATAAATGCAAACCATTTAATTCATAATTAGAACAATAGCTGTTGCATGTAAAATGCAGTCCAGAATGAGTGCTGTTTGAGATGTGATCCTGGTACCACTGGAATCGATCTGTACTGTAATCTTGTTTGTAATCCTGTATATTATGGTGTAATGCACAATTTAGAAAACACTCATCCAGTTGCAATAAAATAGTATTGAAAATCCAACCAATTGTTGCATTTCTTCTTAAAGTGATTTTTAAATATAAATAATTCCTACGCAGAATAGTTGCTTTATTTGCTGAATTAAAAAAATACTAAATGTATTTGTAGAATAAAATAAAAGACAAAAGTTTACTTTAGCATACTCTCTAGTCTGTTTATCTTGGTTAAGGAGTCACCAGCTCCTTGTAGATAATGAAAGAACCTAACTCATATTTTATTACATGGAATATGAGGCCAGGGGGTGGGGTGGGGAGACAAATGGTTGTTTTGTTTTCCTTTGTTTTAAGTGTCTTCACTTTCAGCTTTCTGTTCTTTTAAATGATTATATTATGTTTTTCCCATTTTTTTTAAAAAGGAGTAATTAATTATTAACAGACACAAACAAGTGCCCTAGCTTAGTTTGTTTATACATTTGAAAATATATAAGAAAACCTTACCATTTTCTTAGTGCTTTGTTATTTGTACATTTTCTTGAACTGAATTGCAAATCAGTACTATCACAAAGTACCACTGCACTTTGCAAGCCAATATTATACAATAGTACTATATCATGTAGTACTGGTTTGCAAACCAGTACTATCCCCAAAGACAGATAATTATGTACCTTTAGGAAATGCCAGGGGGAAATGACTTAATTAATTTAAAGAATCCAAGAAGTGGCATTTTGTAATTATCTTATGAACATCTTGTGATGATCTCAATAATTCTTTCCAGAAGAAAATGTAGTGAGTTATTTGTACTCAAGAACATACTATTTGTAGTATATTTTAAGATGATACAGTTGTGTCCCTTCCCTTTTTGGAATGCTAAATAGAACTCTGTGGAAAAACTTACAGATGACTCTGTCTATTGTTAAGTCCACCAAAAAAAAAAAAAAGAAGTTTGGCATTTCTCTTCCTCTGGATGTATTGACTGACAGGAATGCTTCCTAGGGAATAACATTTTGGCACTTGTGCCCTGGCTCTACCATGGTGCTCTGATTACTGTCATTAGTAACTCCATTGTTCCTCCTCTGATTCGGATGCCACATTGGATGGCTACCTCTCTTCCCAAGCTTGTTCCTTTAATCTCCTTCTCATTGGTGATTTAGGGGTTCCAGAAAGCTGACCTCATTTAGCAAACTGCTCCAGAAAAATGTGAGTAATCTAATGGACAGGAACAATTAGCCATACTAATAACATTGCCAATGGGGCTATGTCAAGCTGTGACAGTAGCAGTAAGGAATATTTCAACATTCAAAGATGTTTGAGTTCAATTTAAAATATATCATTTTAGCATGTTTTCCATCAGCCTTCATCAGATGACAGAAATACTTTTAAGTTAGTCTCAACTTTATCCAAAATGCAGTAATCTCATTCCAAGTGAATCAGGGTTGTTATTTTGAAATCAAGCTGTTGCTTCTAGGATTGCTCTCACTGTTCTTACTTTAAGAGATGTACTACTGATAGGCTATCTGAACAGTGTCAGCCTTCCAGCCTAGGGAACCATGAAGTGAACATTCAGATCTATGTGATCTCTTCAGCCGCTTAATTTCACCTATAATTAATATTATAAATCTTCATGCAAACTAAAAACTGTTGCTGTAGCAAACAGAAGAAATAATAAGAGAATGCATTTTAAGGATTCCAGCTTTTAAAACACCAAGCAAGGAAATCTATATTGTGGATTTTTTGTTGTTGTTGTTTGGTAAGGTAGAAATGCAGACTCTAAGTTTTTTGTTTTTTGTTTTTCCCTTTCATTTTGCCTATGTAACTTCATTCTAAAACATAAGGATTCTTTCAGTCAGTCAAGGAGTAACTCACATGCCACCATCTTTTATTCAACGGCAGGCACAGCTGTTCCTTCTGCAGGGGAGGTTTTAATTTATGAAAATGATATTGTTTATGCATGAATGAACTGAATGCACTCTGCATCACACACAGCACTTCCATCTGATCAGAGAAATACCACAGAACCAGTGCCAATGTCAGAAACATATTCTACGAATTTACTCACTTAAATGTTTAATGAATATTTGGAAGGCATTTTCAAACCACAAGAAACCTTTTCAATTATCTTTTTCTTTTCTTTTTGAATTGCCACCAATATTTAAAAGAGACTCAGTTTTTATAATTGGCTAATGCCTATATCTAGCTAATAGGGAAAAAAATGTTTTACTAAGTCAAAACCAACCAAAAAGAAGAAACACTGGCAGCTTTGGCTTCATTGGAAAAATATATTTTCTTAGTGTTGTTGTATATTGCTTGTTATGAGTAACATTTAGGGTTCTATGTGTTCTTTCATCTTGGACAATTACTATTCCTATCAAATACAAAGCTTCGATCTACTTATCTAATGTGAAAATGCTCTAAAGAGTTATTTCCAGAAAAAAACTGGTATTTAAAATCAGCAGTCAGTTTCATAGTGGGAGATGAAATTTGGCTAAATATTTTAACCAGTACATAATTCCTTTTGAATAGAACACTGCATAACTTAGATTTCATTTACATCACCAACTGCATTCATACAGTATGATCTATCTACTTTTAATCCTGAAAAATACAATTAAATGCAAATTAAAATGAAGAATTATAATATCTTAAGAATGTTCTGATAGTTTTAGGTTTATAATATGGTACAGTAAAATAACGTTTGCAACAAATTATAAGTGTTCTAATGTATTAATCTTAAAAAACTCCCTATGTTTTTACATTTGAAAGTCTATAATTCTTACAAAATTAATGCATTTCTGAAAGAAGCTAGCAATTACTAAAATGATATATGGATCATTAGCTAGCAGTTTGAAGCAAGTTGTTTTAGTTCTATAATTAAACAAGAGATTTAAAGTGAAAATATCTATTCAACAATTAATAAAACTAGGCTTCAAATGTAGACTGATTTCGTCCTAATGAGAATGAGAAACAGTAAAGCTGTTCTTAAACTACGCTAAAGCCTCCTCTCTTCCCTTTTCCTCTCCCTCCACCACCACTTATTTCCTAAAAACTATCTAAATAAAATCTTTAACTCCAGGGTCTGATAAAGAATAAAAGAGCCAATGCAACATCTTGTGGAACACCAGGGCTGAGAACTCTTGTTGCTACCATTGCACAGAGGCATTCTGGTGTCAGATACATGGTGATTTGTATGGTGGCATAATCACTGGCTCTTGGCCAGGCATTATGTTTCAGAGGACACTATTGTCAAGAACCATTCAACTAGAAATCTGCACTGTATGCACTCAAAAGTTGAGATCATCTGTCTTCCCATGTCAGGAAGAGTTTTGTGCTGGCAATTGACTCATAGACTCTTCACACACACTAACATTTGGTTCAATGACTCTGATGGAATTAGCTGGGTAACCAAACTAGTGGCATTGACAAGGCCACAGCCCCTGGGGACTTCTGTTTAAATTGCGAAACTTAAAATATCTTAAAATGCAGAGTATTATGTAAATGCTGGACTAAATCCTCGGATACATTAAATGTGGATTTGGCCATCTAAACATTACTGTGCTATTTGCCCAGCTGATATAGAGGTAAGTGGATAGTGACAATAATCATTTTTATAGATCCCCAGGTATAGAGCAATCCAAAGGGATAGATTGTAAAATAACAGCTAGAGATCAGAGAATAAGTTTAATCTCACATCTATGAGGAAACTTGGTAACTTACTTTGCTATTAACAAGATTAAAAGCTAACCCTGCTTTAGGCTTTGATGCCTTAAAGACACACCTCCAGGAAGGTGGCCTCACATGCTTACTAGGTCAGTGCTAAGTGCTAAGTGCTCTCTGTTCATTACACATTTCATCACCAAGCAGCCCTGTGCCTTATTTTACAGATGAAGGACCTGCAGGAAGCTGGGATACCTGGATACTTATATGACTGGTTTCCTTTCTTCATTCAGGTTCTGGTTCAAATGCCACTTCCTCAGATCCTCATCTAAAGTAGCAACCACTTTCAACCTCACCAAAATCAAAATTATATTGCCCCCTCCCTTTTCCAGAGCATTTATCTGATGTTATCT